CGCCCGCTCGCCCTTCCGTCGGCGGGGCCCCCGGCGCAGCTGCACGGGGCGGAGGAGCAGCAGCAGCGAGGGGGCGGCTGGTGCCGGGCGCGGGGAAGGCGGAGGCGGGGCGCGGCTGAGGCGCTTGCGGCGGCGGCGGAAGACCCCGTCGGCGAAGGTGTACTCGCTGCTGGGGTTGAGCATCCAGTAGTTGTCCTTGCCCCAGGGCCGGGCCGGGTCGCGCAGCACCTTGACGAAGCAGTCGTTGAGCGACAGGTTGTGCCGCACCGAGTTGCGCCAGCCCGTGTAGGCGCCGCGGAAGAAGGGGAAGCGGCCCATCAGGTAGTCGTTGATCTCGGCCAGCGTGAGGCGGCCGCCGGCCGAGTCCCGGATGGCCATGGCGATGAGCGCGATGTAGGAGTAGGGCGGCTTGGGCCGCCGCGTGTACGGCTTCCCCTTCCCGCCCTCCGCGCCCGCCGGCCCCGCGCCCGCCGCCCCCTCGCTGCCCGGGCTGTGGGCGGCGCAGTCCCCGTCCGAGCCCAGCTCGCTATCGCCCGGCGCGGGGGACGGGGCCCCGCTGCCCTCCTGGTCGCTGCCGCCCAGCTTGTCCTCGTAGCGCGGGGCGAAGACCTCCAGCTTCATGGCGCGGCTGGTGCCTCACCCTGCCCCGGCCTCTTCTCCCCCCGCCGCCAGGCTGGGGGCGGCTCTAGGGCAGCCCTAGGAGCTGGGCTGGGGAGGTGGCTGGCTGATTTTGGGGGGGTCTCCTTCCCCGTCGGGAACAGTGTGTGTGGTGGGGGGGGGGCTCTTTTTTCTCCCCCCTGATTTCCTTCTTGGCGAGCAGCGCAGGCTAGGGGTTGCCTCCCCCTTCAGCCCTAGCAAGTAGCAAAGAACAGGGCCCGGAGGGATTTGGTTGGAAGTGGGGAGAGCTCTTCCCACTTGGACAGGTCCCTGGAGAATAGGGTACCCCCCTCTTAGCCTCCTGGAGAGTAGGTTACTTAGGGGCAGGGAGGTCTCTCTCTTTCTTCCACCCCTCTGAGATTTCTTTCTCTTAGGGAGATGCACCGTGTCCTTTCTCACTGCTTTAACTTTGGTTGCTCCAGGTGGGAAAACAGGTTGTTGAAAGAAAACCAGCTAACCCCAAGTCAGTCGATCTGGGATGGGTAGTTCTGCAAAGTCAGATCCTTTCAAAGTTTGATCCTGTCCCTTCTTCGGGAGAGGTTCCTCATGTTACTGTCCACAGTTCATCAGAGCAATAAAAATGGAACACGTTATCTCTAGTGATGTTGCAGTTGCTCCTCTCTCTGTCTGTAGTTGCTGGTGCTCCTGTGTCAAGGGACCTGGTTTCTTCAGTCTTGAGTTCTGAGCTGACTTCTTGCTGTAGCAGTGGCAACAGCCAAGTTATTATTGTTATTAGTATTATTGTCAAGTCATTATCTCTCTCTCTCCCCTTTTGGCTCTGTCTCTCTGCACCACTTTCAGACCAGCCTATTATAATACTTAGGCAGCCGAGGAGAGGCGGAGTTAAAACCAGGATCTGAAAGGCTGGTGGGCGGGGAAGCAAGGTAGCAAAGGTGGGCATCCACTAATAAGCAAGATCAGAGTCATAATTATCTCCCTGTCATCTCAGATCTTGTTGGAAAGTTTATTTCATGCAACATGTTTGTTTTGTTTTTGTTTTTTCCTCTGCCAGGTTCCACCCCTTCTCTCCCTCTCAGCCCTGGGTGTTTTGAATGAAGGAAGCCAGCAGGGACAGTGTGTGTAGGTTTGCATAGCAGGTTCCTCCTTCCAGGTGTAAAGTTCAGGATGACTTATAGGTGGCAGAGCAACACCAGCTACACATTTATTATTTTTACATAATACTTTGTTTAGTAACAAGTTGTAATATGACAGCTAAACACCCTATTATAAAATAATACAATGCTTCACTGGGAAGCTGTATAAACTTTGTTCTGAATTCCTCATGACTTATGTAGCTTGATAGTCATTTAATCCTCACCCCTCTCCTCCCAGGCAGAATGAAAAGTGAATGGGTAGGCACTTCTACATGCTCTGATGGAAACACTTCAACAAAACTCTGACCTTGATTTTATGTATATGTAATGAACAGAGACACTAAACAAATCAGTGTAGCTGACTTCTTTCAGAACCTGTCTTTGTATATCCCTCTGTATAACTCTCTATTAGATTGTTACTGTGTAAACAAAACCATTCTGAACATTAAAAAGCTGCTTTACTTGAGTTTGGTTTTTTTGCATGCCCCTAAACAGTAAAATTCAAATACAGGACCAAAATGTATATAATGAATTAGGACTTAGAATTTATTTGTTTTACCTGTTTCTTTCCAGAAAAATCTAACATGGAATATTTTTAATATGTATTTCACGATTGCCATGGTCTGCTCTTCATTGAGGTGACTAGTCCTATTCACTTCAATGTGCTTGTATTCAGTAGGACTGTTGGCTAAAGGGAGTAAGGATATGGATTGATAGCCAGTGGAACCTGTGATTTCTCTGAAAATTACTGTCTATATTGCTATAAGTCATTCAAATCAGTTGACTTAAAATGGGAGTAGGCTCTAACCTATTAAAATTCTGCACTATACTGCATTTGTCAGCACGTGGAAGACTTTCTAGGATATAACCTTTCCAGAAACCAGTACAAAGATTATGTCCCATCTTTATAGATAATCTACCTGAATTCTGTGTTCCAAGTAAGACCTGAATCGCTTGTTAGGTGGGTGCACAAATTGCTTAATAATAATAAAAGAAACATACTGAAACTTTTTGGAATGAGTGCTGATAGTGCGTAAGGTTTATAAAGTTACATCATAATTCTATTTTAGATGCTCAGCTAATACCACTGTCGATTTATCCTTGAAGTTTGCATTGCCCTTTATATTTTTTGCAGCTGTGCAGTGGTGGAGAGAAATGTGGAAGAATGCAGATTTAGAAGTGCATTGAAAGAGACACAAATAGTGTCACTTTCTCTTTTGATGGGATTGCTTTCACCCATGCACCTGCAGAAAGCCTCAGAAAACTTGCCAATTTTTAATTCTGCACGTGTTTTGAATAGTCAACAATGAACGGACTCTTCATTCTCTCATCTGTCCTTTCTTGTTGTATTCACCTAACTTTAATAAGGGGGTGGGTGTCTTCCTCCTCAAGTTACCACTTGGCCCGTCTTTAATTTTAAAAGGCCAAAAAATAAGAGGGAGGCCACCTTTTGGGGTTTTTTTCCCCCCAGTTTTTTCCCTTCAAATAACATGAGATGAAATTTTTTTAACAAATAGTTGACTTAACAAAAAAGTGAAGTGCCAATGTTTGTGCTAAGGGTATGGGGAAAAAAGCTCCTATTGCTTCCAAAACTTGTATTTTTCTAACATGATGCCAGTGGTGAGGGTAGGTTTCTTCCTCTTCCTGCCTTTGTTGTAAATGGCAATGGAGAAGCCATGATTTGGTAAACTACCTTTTGATGTTTATTTTATTACCTTTCCACCATTTGTGTGGAAAATGTACACATTGTCTCTTATCCTTATTCAAAGAACTTAAAAGTCATTCAAATGCTGTAGGTAAACATGTCAGACAAAACAGGCTTTTTCACAGCTATGTTTGAAGACTAGGAATGAGTGGCAAAACTGGAGTTTTCTCTGCGTTTAAGAGTTTCAGCTCAGAGGTTAATATAAATTTCCCACAGTTATCAAGGTACCTTTATAGTGTGATCTGCATCTGATTCTGCTTTATTTGTCCAAGCCCCCATGCTGTGAACAGTTAAGCACGTGTGTAACTTGACTGGAATGGGGGAGTGCCATTGAAGTCTATAGGGCTACTTACCTGAGTAAAGTTATGCACATGTAAGTGTTTGCAGGATAGGGCTTAAATCCAGAGTTTCTGGTGTAAATGAGAGCATAACTAAGCCCCCTCTCTTGTGCTGCTATTGAAGCAATGTTCTACGAATAGGGAAATATATTACTAAGTATCATAACTTACCATAGAGAGCATATGTAACCTGCATAGGTCAGTGCCACAAGTCTCTTCCTGCTATAGTTTAAAAAGGTACGATATTGCCTTTAGATTTATGACGATTAACACAATCATCAGGGAAAAAAGAGGATTTCATTAAATAAACTCACATCAAAAGCACTTTGATGTGCTATATTAGAGCAAGTTTAAAAAACAAAACAAAAGTCCCTCTTGTAAAGCAAATATAAATGAAGAGGAAAATATTACTTTGTTCTAAAATGAAAATTACTCTAGCTTTTAAGAGTATCAGATCTTTATTTATTTTAGCAGGATCAAATCCACAAAAGCAGCACCTACAGAAAAAGAAGGGAGGAGAAGTGAAATACTATCTGCAAATCATGGTCCTGATTCTCCTATCTTCATTCTTGTGGAATACTACTACTTTTACTCCAAAGTAATTACTCTGACATCAGTAAGGAGTAAGGTATTATTTATTGCAAGTAAGTTTGGAAGAATCAGAGCCTATATTTCCCCTGTGGGCTGATTAAGTCATAAATAGGATTTTTTTTAAATTACTATTAGAGGGAGCTAATGGTTCTATTTTCTACTTTATTTTTTATCCAGTCATGCTGTCTTCACACTAGTTACTACATCAGAATGCAATTTACAAAAGAAGTTTGCCACTCTTTAAAACAATGGTAAGAGCACAAATACCTCTCCTCCCCATTCTGCTCTAGTTTTGTTGAGCTGCTATCAGTTATGCTGCAGTTCTTTCCTGTTGTGCCCAGGCAGTTCACTAGACAAAGTAATTTCATCCAGCCTAACAGTTGTTGCTAACCAGAACAGAGAGGACCTGTTGATGGTATCATAGGTGTCAGTGATGACCTCTCTGGTTGGGAGTAGAGAGGCTTATTTCTAGACATGAGATGTTCGGCACTTCAGACGAATAGAGCACTTGATCCTCCCCGCCCCCACTAGAGCTTCAGTTGTGACTTGCCAGGAATGATGAAATCGGATAACACAAGACATTGGTAAGTGGTAACAATGGACCAGTTCAAAGAGCTGTCTTTGGATGAGCTGCCCACAATACAAGACACAACTAGTGTATACAAATGAGCCAGAGAAGCTTGAAAGTTAGCAAATTGCAGTATAATTTTTGTAATAGTTGAAGGAAACCCAGCTAGAGTCTAAACTATAGAAAACCAGACTGGTACAAATGAATCAAGAAATGAAGAGGAATTTGACCAGTGGAGTAGAATGTGTCTATATGAATCCCCACACCATGAAGTCTAGGGATTCAGATGCTTTCTATAATAAAACAATTAAAATACCCATTCTATTTAGGAAGTGTTTTGAGTTTGGCTTTGGCAGGTACCAAAAACTGAATGTAAAGCCAGGACTTTCATTTCAACCCTGTTTTCACACATTAATATGTTTCTTAAGAGTTTCTCTTGCGTTGAAACTTTCCATGCCCTTTATATATTAAAAAAAAAAAAAGTCAGAGCAAAATATCTTTTCCAATATATTGGTTTGTGATAGAGTGGCAAAAATATCTTCTTGCTGTGAAAAAAGACTTCCTTATTAATAAACCCTTATGGTCCAATAATAATACCTAGCTTTTATATAGCACTTTTCAGTAGTAGAGCTCAAAAGACTTTACAAATGAGGGCAGTATTATTCATATTTTAGAGAAACAGAGGTGCAGTGTCTTACCTAAATACACCCAGCAGGACACTGGCAGAGCTGGGACTAGAATACAGGTTTCCTAAATCCCAGTCTAGTGCTTTAGCTACTTGGGCCACACAACAGAGGCCTCAGTCAGCGGTGGTGCCCACTGGACAAAGGGCGGTCCAAACATAAGATGCTGCCTTCTGTGCCCAAAGAATTTACAGCCTAGTGTCCCAAACCCGCAACTCTACCTATGCTGAGCCTCGTGGACTTGAATTGGGCTCCAGGCAGAAATAGAGGCTAGCCTATATGGAGCATCTTGCAGGCTCAGTGCTTAAGAAAAGTGATATGAAGATTCAGGACAGGGATACAGTCAAAACGTTTTTGCAAAAAAGTGTTGTGTTAATAATTGTCCACATATGCCCTACCATATAACTAATTAGATGATTTCTTATAGCTACCATAACAGAGGTAAAATCCAAATGGGGAGAGAGGTAGTGGTTTTATGGATTAGTTTGAGGAGGGATTTCCATGCAAAATGGAAGGCAAAGAGGGTTTTTTTGTGGGAAAGTGACAAATGGGGGGATGAAGCTGGATTGGATGTCTTTCTGAATGCTCTAACTCGTTCAGAAGTTATGGGCTTGAGACACAGGAACTACCTGGTGAAATTCTATGGCCTGTGCTGTGAAGGAGAACAGACTAGATGGTCCCTTCTGTCCTTAAAATCTATGAATTGGCAGAGTAGACAGGCCAACGTAAAAGAAGAGCAGACAAATAGAAAAGGGCAGTGAGGTGAAGGGTTTTAGATATATAGCTAAAAGCAACTGAACTTTTCTGGTGCTAGTCCTTGC